TTGTCGATGACTCTTTTATTGTCTGCATATTGAGCCAGAAGTTGTCGAATGATGTTGGCTATTTCCAATGCAGAAGGCTCCTTCTCGTTTTCTTGCAATTGATTGGAACAGTAATTAATTTGTTTCTCATCTTCGATAATTTGAGGATGACTCTCTCCGTAGACATTGCGTAGACTGTTAATGGACTTTCGATATAATGAAAATGCTTGACGATAATTCGACAGTTTATAATTGACTACAGCTTGGCTTCGATACAGCTGGGCAGTATGAAGATGATTCTCGCCTAGCGTTACTAAAGAAATTTGCAGTGACTTGTTTAACATTGATAGAGCATCGTCATACTTGCCTTGATCTTTATAGACACTACCAATGTTATGATATGTCGTAGCAATACTTGGATGATTGTCACCAAGTTGTGTAAGTTGAATCTTCAGTGATTTATTATACATCGATAGAGCGTCGTCATACTTGCCTTGATCTTTATAGACACTACCAATGTTATGATATGTCGTAGCAATACTTGGATGATTGTCACCAAGTTGTGTAAGTTGAATCTTCAGTGATTTATTATACATCGATAGAGCGTCGTCATACTTGCCTTGATCTTTATAGACTTGCCCAATATTTGTATAAGTTACAGCAATACTTGGATGATTGTCATCAAGTTGTGTTAGGTCAATCTTCATTGATTTGTTATACATCGATAGAGCGTCGTCATACTTGCCTTGATACACACTACCAATGTTGTGATATGTCGTAGCAATACTTGGATGATTGTCACCAAGTTGTGTTAGGTGAATCTTGAGTGATTTGTTATACATCGATAGAGCGTCGTCATACTTGCCTTGATCATTATAGACTTGACCAATATTTCTGTAAGTTGCAGCAATACTTGGATGATTGTCACCAAGTTGTGTTAGTTTAATCTTCAGTGATTTGTTATACATCGATAGAGCGTCGTCATACTTGCCTTGATCTTCATACACACTACCAATGTTGTGATATGTCGTAGCAATATTTGAATGATTGTCACCAAGTTGTGTTAGGTCAATCTTCAATGATTTGTTATATATCGATAGAGCGTCGTCATACTTGCCTTGATCTTCATACACACTACCAATGTTGTGATATGTCGTAGCAATACTTGGATGATTGTCACCAAGTTGTGTTAGTTGAATCTTGAGTGATTTGTTATACATCGATAGAGCGTCGTCATACTTGCCTTGATCTTTATACACACTACCAATGTTGCAATATGTCGTAGCAATACTTGGATGATTGTCACCAAGTTGAGTTAGGTTAATCTTGAGTGATTTGTTATACATCGATAGAGCGTCGTCATACTTGCCTTGGTCATTATAGACTAGCCCAATATTTGTATAAGTTGCAGCAATACTTGGATAATTGTCGCCGAGTTGTGTTAGTTGAATCTTCAGTGATTTGTTATACATCGATAGAGCATCGTCATACTTGCCTTGATTTTTATAGACTAGCCCAATATTTGTATAAGTTACAGCAATACTTGGATGATTGTCACCAAGTTGTGTTAGTTTAATCTTGAGTGATTTGTTATACATTGATAGAGCGTCGTCATACTTGCTTTGATAATAATAGACACCACCAATGTTGCAATATGTCGTAGCAATACTTGGATGATTGTCACCAAGTTGTGTTAGTTGAATCTTGAGTGATTTGTTATACATCGATAGAGCGTCGTCATACTTGCCTTGATCTTTATACACACTACCAATGTTGTGATATGTCATAGCAATACTTGGATGATTGTCACCAAGTTGTGTTAGGTGAATCTTCAGTGATTTGTTATACATCGATAGAGCGTCGTCAAACTTGCTTTGATAATAATACACACCACCAATGTTGTGATATGTCGTAGCAATACTTGGATGATTGTCACCAAGTTGTGTTAGTTGAATCTTCAGTGATTTATTATACATCGATAGAGCATCGTCATACTTGCCTTGATCTTTATACACACCACCAATGTTGTGATATGTCGCAGCAATACTTGGATGATTGTCACCAAGTTGTGTAAGTTGAATCTTCAGTGATTTGTTATACATCGATAGAGCGTCGTCATACTTGCCTTGATCTTCATACACACTGCCAATGTTGTGATATGTCGTAGCAATACTTGGATGATTGTCACCAAGTTGTGTTAGGTGAATCTTCAGTGATTTGTTATATATCGATAGAGCGTCGTCATACTTGCCTTGATCTTCATACACACTACCAATGTTGTGATATGTCATAGCAATACTTGGATGATTGTCACCAAGTTGTGTTAGTTTAATCTTCAGTGATTTGTTATACATTGATAGAGCGTCGTCATACTTGCCTTGATCATTATACACATTACCAATGTTGTGATATGTCGTAGCAATACTTGGATGATTGTCACCAAGTTGTGTTAGTTTAATCTTCAGTGATTTGTTATACATCGATAGAGCGTCGTCATACTTGCCTTGATCTTCATACACACTACCAATGTAGTGATATGTCGTAGCAATACTTGGATGATTGTCACCAAGTTGTGTTAGTTTAATCTTCAGTGATTTGTTATACATCGATAGAGCGTCGTCATACTTGCCTTGATCTTTATACACACTACCAATGTTGTGATATGTCATAGCAATACTTGGATGATTGTCACCAAGTTGTGTTAGTTTAATCTTCAGTGATTTGTTATACATCGATAGAGCGTCGTCATACTTGCCTTGATCTTCATACACACCACCAATGCTGTGATATGTCGTAGCATTACTTGGATGATTGTCACCAAGTTGTGTTAGTTTAATCTTGAGTGATTTGTTATACATCGATAAAGCGTCGTCATACTTGCCTTGATGATAATAGACATCACCAATGCTGTGATATGTCGTAGCATTACTTGGATGATTGTCACCAAGTTGTGTTAGTTTAATCTTCAGTGATTTGTTATACATCGATAGAGCGTCGTCATACTTGCCTTGATGATAATAGACACCACCTATGCTGTGATATGTCGTAGCAATACTTGGATGATTGTCACCAAGTTGTGTTAGTTTAATCTTGAGTGATTTGTTATACATCGATAGAGCGTCGTCGTACTTGCCTTGATCATTATAGACTTGCCCAATATTTGTATAAGTTACAGCAATACTTGGATGATTGTCACCAAGTTGTGTTAGGTGAATCTTCAGTGATTTGTTATACATCGATAGAGCGTCGTCATACTTGCCTTGATCTTTATAGGCTAGCCCGATATTTGTATAAGTTACAGCAATACTTGGATGATTGTCACCAAGTTGTGTTAGTTTAATCTTCAGTGATTTGTTATACATTGATAGAGCGTCGCCATACTTGCCTTGATGATAATAGACACCACCTATGCTGTGATATGTCGTAGCAATACTTGGATGATTGTCACCAAGTTGTGTTAGGTCAATTTTCAGTGATTTGTTATAAATCGATACAGCGTCGTCATACTTGCCTTGAACTTTATACACACCACCAATGTTGTGATATGTCGTAGCGATACTTGGATGATTATCACCAAGTTGTGTTAGTTTAATCTTCAGCGATTTGTTATACATCGATAGAGCGTCGTCATACTTGCCTTGATCATTATAGACTTGCCCAATGTTTGTATAAGTTACAGCAACACTTGGATGATTGTCACCAAGTTGTGTTAGGTCAATCTTGAGTGATTTGTTATACATCGATAGAGCGTCGTCATACTTGCCTTGATGATAATAAACACCACCAATGCTGTGATATGTCGTAGCAATACTTGGATGATTGTCACCAAGTTGTGTTAGTTGAATCTTCAGTGATTTGTTACACATCGATAGAGCGTCGTCATACTTGCCTTGATCTTTATAGACTTGCCCAATATTTGTATAAGTTACAGCAATACTTGGATGATTGTCACCAAGTTGTGTTAGTTTAATCTTCAGTGATTTGTTATACATCGATAGAGCGTCATTATACTTGCCTTGATTGCCATAAATACTTGCAATGTTACGATAAGACTCACTAATATTGATATCTTCACTTTCTGACCATTCTGATTTTATTCTAAGTGATTTGTTAAAATCTTCTAAAGCTCCATTCAAATCACCTTGCAATTGTTTAATACACCCTTGCCTATCAAAGCACTTTGCAATTCTCACTCTATCTTGTGGTTGCTCGGCTAATTTCTTCGCATTTCTTCTCCATTTATCGGCTTCTATCAGTTTATATTGGCTTAAATAACAATCGGCTATGTCGAGATAAATATCGCATTCAAGTTGATGGTCATAATTATTATTACTATTCTTGGACATAGATTGGATTTGAGTAGCAGCTTCTTTGTAATGTAATAGGGCTTGTTCATAATTGCCTTCTTCAAAGCATTTCGCACCTTTTTTGTGGATAGATTCAGTTTCATCGATGATAGTCAATTTTGTGGACTCATATGCCGCCATGTTTCAGTTTATAACAAGACTGAAAGCATACACAGTAATTTGGGGGAAATAAACACCAGTACTTTAATCGGTAGAGGTTGCAACTTTAATAGAGATGCGATTGATTATCGCAATCGTCTTTACAGTATATGATTGGGCCAAACTGATGCCTTCTATTTAATGTCAAGATTTCAAAATCTATGCTAGTTCACAGTGTGCTCAAATCGGCCAAATTGGATACGCCCTAAGAAGTCAACGGTCATCAATTCTAATTATTGGTAAATTATTTTTTGATATTAACGAAGCCGTAATAGATTGAAAGCGCGAAGACATTCTTTCCATAACTTACTTCTCTTTATTTATTTATTTTTCAATATCAATAACCTGCGTCATCGCTATTAATATAAATAGAAGCTTACTCATTAGCATAACAATAGTATTGAATAATTAAAATGTAGTGTTAAGCATAAATTTGCTATCATATTAATTACTTCGTAAATTGGCTTAATGGCTTGATAAATTAATGTTAAACATTTTTGTTATACAGTTCATCAATTAGAGAAATTCTACTCAAAGAATATTGGGTAACTTCAATTATTTACGATCATTGCCTTATAATTCTACTAAGTATAATCAACATTATTTTATTATAATCCTGCAAATGTTAATTTATTTTTGCGTCGACAGTCGATTTGGCGGCATATTGTTCATATTTTCAGTTTTGAGCATAATACATGCTATAACTACAATATAATCATTCATCATTATATATTAATGAAGTTTTTCTGTTTTACCATCCGAGATAGCTGTCTTTTATATAACGCGAAATCGAGGATGAAGGAGAGGGACGAATTATTATCTATCCGTAAAATTAGGGATAAGTGTTCTTAAGTGCTACTTAAAGAGATTTAGTGCCCTGATACGTGGCTCAGGGATAAGATTTGTACATTCAGCCTTCTCGTTATTTTGTTATAGATCTGGTCTGTATCACAATAATATGGAAAGACTAATATTGCGATATTATAGAGATAAGATAGGAATATTACGTACAAATGGATCTGTTATGAAATGTAAAATGTAGAGATCAAGCTAAAAAACTTTGAACAAACTTTGATTCTACTTTCGTGGCCCCTGGTCGACTTAACGAAACTATGATACCAAATAAAAATTGCAGAAACAACCGAACAACAATTTATTAATAAATGTGAGTGAGATAGATCAAACAACCTTTCAGATACTTAATCCTTAGTATTGTAAGTGAAGAAATAATGAAAAAACGACAGAACTAAAGCTGTCAATAACTGAACAACCTAACAAAAGAAGAACGTTTTCACTTACAAAGTTCGACCCCGAAGGTCTTTAAAATTCAACAAATTCTTCAAAACCATCTTCTGTTACTCTCTACTCTAAATTTTCTGATTGCACTATCATTTATAGTCACGGTTTGCAGAGCCCTCACGGTCGACGGAAACTGAATCCAAAAATTCCGAATTTTAATAAAATCACATATTTGCTTATCAAAAAATTTTATACGACAACTATGACTGCTTCTCTGACGTTAGTATTGGCAGTTGATGTAGTCAACTCATTTAAATTCTCAATAGACTATCAAACGCCCTTTCTTTAGATTAGGCAATTGCTCTTAAGTCATTCCTATAGTAATCTATACAAAACCTTGTAAAATAGCGAAGAAGAAAAGATAGCGACATCATGATTTGGCAGGGTAAACCTTAAAGATACTATCATTTTCTAGGTATTTTCTATAGTAAAATAATAATAGTTTCATACTAAAAGCTGTAAAGGACTGCGCTTTTAGTCCTTTACTACAGATTTGTAACTATGCTACTCCGAATTATTACCTTCATACTTTGCTGTTCATACACTGACTTCTAAAATTTATCCCCGTTAAAATAAAAACAATAGCTACAACGGTATAATGCTACAACAGCAAGATAGATCCTAGCATGATTGCCTGTAGTCAATAACATTAATATGAGTTTCAAAGACCATTAGTTAAGAATTTTGAACGGATCCAATTAATAATATAATCAATCAACACAAAACGCAGGATAATCTTAGCATATATATGTCACGGTACGCCGTTACTAATTAAGTAACTGTAAATTAATGAATGCTTATGAATAGATAAGATAAGGTTATGTGCTATGTTTTAATGCGCTTGTAGCTGATAATAGGATGGTAGAAATGAGATAAAAATAGAAGTTGTTAGCAGTTAATTTACTGTAGGTTTATAAGTTGTGTTAATCTCTAAAAATTGAGCTGTATATGGACGAAGGTTAAGCGTCTTAACACCTGATAGCTTGTAGCTATCTAAGTCTGAGGATATCGACATGTATATTTAGTAATGGTATTATACTAATTAATGTAACTTGTAAAGCATGAATTCTCACTCATTAATATTGGAATTCACTGTAGAAACCTATTTAAGCGCGTGTGTTTGTAGAATAAAAAAAATAATTGCTCAAGAAACGGCAAGACTCATATCGTGAAGAATAGTGTAATAATTAGTCAGTTGTCTGTGGAGATCAGCCGAGAAATCGAGTTCTCAAATACTTCTCTCATAGAAACTGAAAGTACTGGGAGAAATAGCCCAAGTTTTAAGTAACTACACTAGAGTTCTTTACTTTCCTTTGCCACAAGTGAGGGTTGTGACAATATATTACTACTGATTGCATGTAAGTATTACAGATCAATTTCAATTTTCATATACACAAGTTATCAGCAGATTAGTACCGAAAACGATCGATTTACCCTTTATTAGCTGATATTAGAATGCCAAATTTACAAGATGATCAATATCGACGAAGTCGATACTATGTAGGTGTAATGGAACTAGTATTGTGATTGTAGACTGTTAGCCATGTTTAGTATAACGTACGGTAGATATTTATCTTAAGAGATATTTGGTAGTCATAACTATAGACTGTAGTGGTATAGATTCTATGCTAGAGTACAGATGACTATATACAGTAAGCTGTTGAGTTACTAATAAGGCTATACGTAAAAATAGAACTGTAAATCATATATTAGGATGTGGTTAATTCATTGTACTTTGGCTGGAGTGAATAATGTCTACGTAAGTACTGTAGTCGTATCCATATTGGATTAATGATGGTCCGCAGTAGAATAGTCTTACTAAGAATAATTTAACTATGTGTAATATAAGGTAAAAGGTTGCTATGCGGATTGTAGCTGCGAATGCTACGAAAAGTATAAAAGCATGCAACTTTAGATTATTCTGTTAGTTCGTTGTAGAAGTCTTTAGTAGTAGTATGCGGCTAGAGTAGAGCTGTGTGTAGTTAATCTTTGTATAAGATTTAATAAAGCCCTTATTTTTCTAAAATTTGGAATCTCGTGATTGGTATATATCACACTTGTTTTCAAATGTTCTAGTTTCCTTGGAGTAAATTTTGCTACTTGCCCATGTTCTACCTCATAAACAGTCTTGCCAAGTGTTTTATCTACTTCAGCATTTGATGATGGCAACATCTGGCTGTGTTTTGGCCTAACCCAAGAGACATTGTTAACTTAGAAACTTAAAATATCCAAATTTCAGATAAGTATCATGACAACGATTAAACTATCATCTAATGATAGTACCAATGTAGAAATCTATTTAATTTTGTTATTATAGTATTTCTTATTTGGCCTATTTAAATCAGAACAATTTGTTACCAAACCAGGAAATATAAATATTTAAATTTTTAATATTACTACGAGTAATAAAATTAAGTCAAACGCCATTAAATAAAATCTCTTTATGATATATTTTTGAAACAATAAGGATGTGTCTTTCATCGTGGAGGGCTATCATGTAGAAACGTTGATATCCATTTGATCTATGCAGTTTCAATTATATAAAACTGTTTTAAGTATTTCTACAAAATTTCAATTTCATTTCTTTCTCTTTAAAATAAAGTAACTGATTATATCATTCATGGCATTATTCTCGCTGCCAACAATATTCCATCACATTAATGTCATTAAGTAACCAATATCTTTTGATTTATAAAATTACTTGCTACATTATTCTAAAGTTCTATTATTCAATCATGTTTTAATTTATGGCCATAATAGTGGTAAAATAGCAATTTAGGAAAATGATTCTAATAACCTGTATATTTTATTAACCTACAGCAACTTGATCACAATAAAATAGTATAGTACTGAATCACAATTAAGGATAAATTCTTTTGTAAATGGTAGTACTTATGCTATATTAAGGAAAAGGAGGTCTAGGTTGAGGAATTGTTTGCGATGTTAAACTACATTACTCAACTAAATCTCAAATAATTATAATTTAAAAATGTTTGCAAATGCGTTGCAAACCAGAAAATAATGCAAGTTTAATCAATATACTTGTGGTCAATCTTTGCAAATCATTTCAGTTGGTAAGTATAGAGATATAGATAGATCATCACTTACAATGTATCAATATATTACTATAAATATCGTAAATAAACGTTAATACTGTATATTTTGCCATGAAAGCTTTACGATAAACCTTGCCATCGTTACTTCGTTAGTAATAAATTATAACAGTTTAGCGTTATAATCCAAAAAAGAATGAATAAAAATTCTGCGAAATCACAACATTTAATATTTTAAATGATCATTTTCATCTTTTATTCAATTTAGGTTACATTTATTTAAATGCAAAAGATCACCTTTGTTTAGCTAATCTTACTTTTTTTATTGATAGGTGGATTACTGGCTGGCTTGCCGGAGAAATTACACAATTGTTTTTTCATGAGTGATAAAGAATTTAATTACTGTGTGGAGAAATTCAAAAAGCATGGTTTCCAGTAAATAAATAATACTGAAATTACAGCAAAGAGCTACAGCTTTTTCACTATTCTAGCATAATCATATAACGATGTGATTTAATTAGTCATTTCTATCTTTAGTTACTCGCTAAATTGGTATCGGAATGAACCAAGAAATTGGAAGTGTTTACGCAGTTTCGAGCGATATATGGTAATATTATATTTTCTCTTTTT